GATAACAAGAAGATGTGCAGGGATAACAAGAGGATGTGCAGGGATAACAAGAGGATGTGCTGGGATAACAAGAAGATAGCATCTTACTCATCAAGAAGATAGCATCTTACTCATCAAGAAGATAACATCTTACTCATCAAGAGGATAGCATCTTACTCATCAAGAAGATAGCATCTTACTCATCAAGAGGATAGCATCTTACTCATCAAGAAGATAGCATCTTACTCATCAAGAGGATAGCATCTTACTCATCAAGAAGATAGCATCTTACTCATCAAGAGGATAGCATCTTACTCATCAAGAGGATAGCATCTTACTCATCAAGAGGATAGCATCTTACTCATCAAGAAGATAGCATCTTACTCATCAAGAGGATAGCATCTTACTCATCAAGAAGATAGCATCTTACTCATCAAGAAGATAGCATCTTACTCATCAAGAGGATAACATCTTACTCATCAAGAGGATAACATCTTACTAATCAAGAGGATAACATCTTACTCATCAAGAGGATAGCATCTTACTCATCAAGAGGATAGCATCTTACTCATCAAGAAGATAGCATCTTACTCATCAAGAGGATAACATCTTACTCATCAAGACAGCATCTTACTCATCAAGAGGATAGCATCTTACTCATCAAGAGGATAGCATCTTGCTCATCAAGATAGCATCTTACTCATCAAGAAGATAGCATCTTACTCATCAAGAGGATAACATCTTACTCATCAAGAAGATAGCATCTTACTCATCAAGAGGATAACATCTTACTCATCAAGAAGATAGCATCTTACTCATCAAGAGGATAGCATCTTACTCATCAAGAGGATAACATCTTACTCATCAAGATAGCATCTTACTCATCAAGAGGATAGCATCTTACTCATCAAGAGGATAACATCTTACTCATCAAGAAGATAGCATCTTACTCATCAAGAGGATAGCATCTTACTCATCAAGAGGATAACATCTTACTCATCAAGAAGATAGCATCTTACTCATCAAGAGGATAGCATCTTACTCATCAAGAGGATAACATCTTACTCATCAAGAAGATAGCATCTTACTCATCAAGAGGATAGCATCTTACTCATCAAGAGGATAGCATCTTGCTCATCAAGATAGCATCTTACTCATCAAGAAGATAGCATCTTACTCATCAAGAGGATAACATCTTACTCATCAAGAAGATAGCATCTTACTCATCAAGAGGATAACATCTTACTCATCAAGAAGATAGCATCTTACTCATCAAGAGGATAGCATCTTACTCATCAAGAGGATAACATCTTACTCATCAAGATAGCATCTTACTCATCAAGAGGATAGCATCTTACTCATCAAGAGGATAACATCTTACTCATCAAGAAGATAGCATCTTACTCATCAAGAGGATAGCATCTTACTCATCAAGAGGATAACATCTTACTCATCAAGAAGATAGCATCTTACTCATCAAGAGGATAGCATCTTACTCATCAAGAGGATAACATCTTACTCATCAAGAAGATAGCATCTTACTCATCAAGAGGATAACATCTTACTCATCAAGAAGATAGCATCTTACTCATCAAGAGGATAGCATCTTACTCATCAAGAGGATAACATCTTACTCATCAAGAAGATAGCATCTTACTCATCAAGAGGATAGCATCTTACTCATCAAGAAGATAACATCTTACTCATCAAGATAACATCTTACTCATCAAGAAGATAGCATCTTACTCATCAAGAGGATAGCATCTTACTCATCAAGAGGATAACATCTTACTCATCAAGATAGCATCTTACTCATAAAGAGGATAGCATCTTACTCATCAAGAGGATAACATCTTACTCATCAAGAAGATAGCATCTTACTCATCAAGAGGATAGCATCTTACTCATCAAGAGGATAACATCTTACTCATCAAGAAGATAGCATCTTACTCATCAAGAGGATAGCATGTTACTAATCAAGAGGATAACATCTTACTCATCAAGAAGATAGCATCTTACTCATCAAGAGGATAGCATCTTACTCATCAAGAGGATAGCATCTTACTCATCAAGAAGATAGCATGTTACTCATCAAGAAGATAGCATCTTGCTCATCAAGAAGATAGCATCTTACTCATCAAGAAGATAGCATCTTACTCATCAAGAAGATAGCATCTTGCTCATCAAGAAGATGGCATCTTGCTCATCAAGAAGATAGCATATTACTCATCAAGAAGATAGCATCTCACTCATCAAGAAGATAGCATCTTACTCATCAAGAAGATAGCATCTTACTCATCAAGAAGATAGCATCTTACTCATCAAGAGGATAGCATCTTACTCATCAAGAGGATAACATCTTACTCATCAAGAAGATAGCATATTACTCATCAAGAAGATAGCATCTCACTCATCAAGAAGATAGCATCTTACTCATCAAGAAGATAGCATCTTACTCATCAAGAGGATAAAATCTTACTCATCAAGAAGATAGCATCTTACTCATCAAGAAGATAGCATCTTACTCATCAAGAAGATAGCATCTTACTCATCAAGAAGATAGCATCTTGCTCATCAAGAAGATAGCATCTTGCTCATCAAGAAGATAGCATCTTACTCATCAAGAAGATAGCATATTACTCATCAAGAAGATAGCATCTTACTCATCAAGAAGATAGCATCTTACTCATCAAGAGGATAAAATCTTACTCATCAAGAAGATAGCATCTTACTCATCAAGAGGATAAAATCTTACTCATCAAGAGGATAAAATCTTACTCATCAAGAGGATAACATCTTACTCATCAAGAGGATAACATCTTACTCATCAAGAAGATAGCATCTTACTCATCAAGAAGATAGCATCTTACTCATCAAGAGGATAACATCTTACTCATCAAGAAGATAACATCTTACTCATCAAGAAGATAGCATCTTACTCATCAAGAGGATAACATCTTACTCATCAAGAAGATAACATCTTACTCATCAAGAGGATAACATCTTACTCATCAAGAAGATAACATCTTACTCATCAAGAAGATAACATCTTACTCATCAAGAGGATAGCATCTTACTCATCAAGAGGATAACATCTTACTCATCAAGAAGATAGCATCTTACTCATCAAGAAGATAGCATCTTACTCATCAAGAAGATAACATCTTACTCATCAAGAAGATAGCATCTTACTCATCAAGAGGATAACATCTTACTCATCAAGAAGATAACATCTTACTCATCAAGAGGATAACATCTTACTCATCAAGAGGATAACATCTTACTCATCAAGAAGATAACATCTTACTCATCAAGAGGATAGCATCTTACTCATCAAGAAGATAACATCTTACTCATCAAGAAGATAACATCTCACTCATCAAGAAGATAACATCTTACTCATCAAGAAGATAACATCTTACTCATCAAGAGGATAGCATCTTACTCATCAAGAAGATAACATCTCACTCATCAAGAAGATAACATCTTACTCATCAAGAAGATAACATCTCACGGCGCGCATAACGGAGATAAAACACCTCAATTACTGGGAGTGCTTGAGGTTCCTGAACCTGTATTCCCTGGAACGCAGGAGGGAGAGATACATGATTATATACACCTGGAAAATCCTAGAGGGACTAGTACCGAACTTGCACACGAGAATCACTCACTACGAAAGCAAAAGACTTGGCAGACGATGCACCATCCCCCCAATGAAAAGCAGGGGTGTCACTAGCACGTTAAGAGACCATACAATAAGTGTCAGGGGCCCGAGACTGTTCAACTGCCTCCCAGCACACATAAGGGGGATTACCAACAGACCCCTGGCAGTCTTCAAGCTGGCACTGGACAAGCACCTAAAGTCAGTTCCTGATCAGCCGGGCTGTGGTTCGTACGTTGGATTGCGTGCAGCCAGCAGTAACAACCTGGTTGATCAGGCTCTGATCCACCATGAAGCCTGGTCAAAGACCGGGCCGCGGGGGCGTTGACCCCCGAGAGTTCTCTCCACGTAAACTCCAGGTTACTCATCAAGAGGATAGCATCTTAGTCAAGAGGATAGTGATAAATCAATATAAAACACAGAGTGGAAGGGATACAAGAGTGCGACTAATGCTACAGTCATTGGTAAAAAAAAAAAAAAAAAAAAAAAAAAAAAAAAAAAAAAAAAAAAAAAAAAAAAAAAAAAAAAAAAAAAAAAAAAAAAAAAAAAAAAAGAGAGAGAGAGAGAGAGAGAGAGAGAGAGAGAGAGAGAGAGAGAGAGAGAGAGAGAGAAACAAATTATTGAGGATGAGACACGTGCTCCTGTAGTTACAAATAGGTAATTAAAAACACTGATAGATAATTAATTTTCTCATTCACTGTGCTAATGTACAATAAATAATTCTGAGCCAATAATTTACCATGACCATCCCAAATATTTTCATAAAACCATAATATCAGAAAATAAATTGTTAATATGTAAACACAATACATTAATGAAATTAATAGCATCAATGTGATATACCTACACACCAAAATTAATAGCATCAATGTGATATACCTTTATTATTATTAAAGATTCGCCGGTAATTCTCCCGGCCCGGGCCTTTTCCAAGTGGTGGCCCGGCCTTGGCTCCCTCTTTAGGGAGTGTCTGAGACCTAAGTCTCCCATGGGAGGAGGCACAAGTACCCTCTCATCTTTGGGACCAACTGTCCCCTCTGGTCTGCCATCCCCGCCCCAGGGGAGCTAATGGGAATGCCAGTGTTTTGAGCTGTAAGCTCGGGCTCAGGCACCTACCCTACCCTAGAAGGGCTGGGCATGGTGTCAATGTGATATACCTACACACCAAAATCATAGCATCAGAAAATAAGTCCAATGATTTGGTGCAATATAATACACTACAAGTTTTTCATCCAGAATTGTTTTAAAGGGAAACAATATACAGTATGAAACTGAGATTCTTTAAATCTAAAGGAGACAAGTCTGATAAAAAATGTAAAACTTTTTTAAAGACTATAAACCAGAGAAAAACTGCACTTACATGGTAACCACATTGAACTGTTGTGTCTGTCGGGGTAACTCAAGTGCTTCACACTGAGAATTCTTTCTCAGAACAGCCTGACTCTTTCCTGTAAAACAGTACATTAAAATGGTTAGGAAGAAAAGATATTCACACATCTTAGATGCGTGTTAAGTTTTTCTAATAAAAATTATTTATAATTAAATGATCACTGCCTGAAACATCATATTTAATATCTTCCAGAATTTAATACAGTATTGTTAGACTTGTGCATAATATTTCACATACAGTACATCTTTTTAACAAACCGGCCATATCCTACCTAGGCTGGGCGACATAAAAAGAAAAACAAAAATTTCTTATTGAATTTAGTAATACATGTATATGCAGGAGAAGGGGTTTTTACAGTACAACTATATGTACTCCTTAATTTAACACTTTGGAAATACAGAACAAAATCTGCTGGGTCAGTTGATTTAGATTCAATGGAGAGAGTGCTGGTTAAAGAATTGACTAGCAAAAAATAATATTGTATCTAGTATATGGTACCACAATCATCACTTGTCACCCAGCCACTACCCCTCATTAGTTGTGTATATACTGTAGAAAGTTTTCTGTCTTTAGCTGTCTTTTCAGTCTTTAGCTGGCAATATTATACCTCAAACTTGTTTGAAATCTAATACAATATGAAAAGGTGGCTAAAGCTCCCGCTTCACACACAGAGGGCCCGGGTTCGATTCCCAGCAGGTAGAAACATTTCGACACGTTTCCTTACACCTGTTGTCCTGTTCACCTAGCAGCAAATAGGTACCTGGGTGTTAGTCGACTGGTGTGGGTTGCATCCTGGGGGACAAGATTGAGGACCACAATGGAAATAAGTTAAACAGTCCTCGATGACGCACTGACTTTCTAGGGTTATCCTGGGTGGCTAACTCTCCGTGGTTAAAAATACGAACGAAATCTTATCTTATCTCTTAATTGCACACAAAGCATACCTATTTCAGCAGAAATCCTTTCACTTTTTATTAAGATAAGATACACTACATTTTACAAGTTTAAAGCAACGGCTATGTTTACCAAACATAATCATGCAGGATGGTTTTTCTTGTCATACTACATCACACAGGATGGGTTTTCAAATAAATTAAAGAAACCTGTCATCTATGACCATAATTTTTAATGGGGTGAACCAGTAAGCCAGTGGAAGGCCTCGGTCAAATGACCAAAAGGTCCAACGGCGGGTCATCAACTAAGACACGCGTCAGTAAACACTTGCCAGGGCTCAACATGGCAGGTTGTGTAGCGGGCTAGCTGCGGGATTTTCAAGGATAGCTCCTGGTCAAAGAGGCTGACCAGGTCCCTACTTAACAGAACTCAGTGTGAATGCTTTGAGAAGATACCAGAGCAGCGAACGGACATCCCAGTGCATCGTTTCAGCGTAAATAGTTGAAGTGTTGTGCAGTTTCAGAGGATTTGGTGTTGTCGAGTCAGGACCAGTCAGCGCCTCCCCCCCTCTCCGCTGGGGGGGAGGGCGTGTGTAGTAAACAGTGACCCTCTCATAACGCCTCACACCTGCGCGTCTCCCCCGCCTCACCCACCCAACTCCCAGCGCCACCCCATCTGTAGAGGGTACTTCTCCCCTAACCCACGATGTCAGCGATGGCACTGCAGGGAGTGCCGGGCTCACAGGAACTTCCACTACAGGGACAGCATCGTGGAGTTCGACCGCGAGGCAGCTGTCAGGTGTGCCACAGGCAGTGTGTACTCAGTTCCTCAAGCTTCAACATCCGTGCACACGAGGGCCTGGGATCTTCAGTCAACTTGGCGTCCACCAGGACGCTGACATGTCCCTAGGACAGCTCTCCATCGGGCTGCTAACGGAGTCACTGGCTTCTTGGACCTCTTGGGGAGGGTCGATGGTGCTCGTGCAAGCAGCAGATCCCGGGGCAACTTGCTGCTGTTTGCAATGGCTGTCTACCGAGGAAAGACAGGCACCTAGCAACATCTGTTGTTGGGGCAATGGATGAATTCCCTGCTGTTTGTTAACTGCTCATTACTCTGTAATTTGTCTATGATTGTAATCATGTGATAACGTGTTTATCATTCATTACCTTTGAAACTTGTCATGATTTTGACCAGCTCTACCTGGAGCTCATTACCTTTGTAAATTCTCATGATTAATGTGTTTATGATTCATTACCTTTGCAATTATTCATGAGTGTGACCAGCTCTACCTGGAGCTCATTACCTTTGTAACTTGGTCATGATTATGACCAGATCTAGTTCATTACCATTGTAACTTGCTCAGCTATCAAAACTTTGGAGTCCAGTCCCTGGACCAATTATGTACCTCTGTAATCTTTTGACTACCGCCCACAGGATGGGTATGGAGTGCATAATAAACATATTAAACTAACTAACTAAAAGTAAACACTTGTCCTGTTTCCTGACGAACCTTACCTAGCCTAACCGAAACCTGTCAGTTCTAGAGAAAGGAAGCCTTCAGTAGAACTATGAGGATGCTCTCACGCATTTCCATTATGAGTTCAATAATTATGTGAGCTTAAAACATTTCCTTCCAACAGGGTTGAAGTTACTTTTATATGGGATTATCATGTTAGATGACTTAACACACAAATTTAGGGAAAAGATTGATGAAATAATTTGCACACACACACACAGGACCAGGAGCTATGAATCGACCCCTGCAACCACAATTAAATGAGTACACAAAAGTCCTATTCTTAAATTCAATCCATTCATTCTGGGCCAAAATTATTTTTTTCCTCCAGAAAATCCTCCTCTCTTCCTCTATCTCTTACCGTTTACCTGGAGAGAATTCCGGGGTTCAACGCCCCAGCGGCCCGGTCTGTGACCAGGCCTGTTAGGTAAGACACATATGCAACAGTTAGGTATCTTTATTATGAAACGTTTCGCCTACACAGTAGGCTTCTTCAGTCAAGTACAAAAAAGTTGATAGAAGCAGAAGATACTTGAAGACGATGTAATCAGTCCATCACCCTTAAAGTTTTGAGGTGGTCAGTCCCTCAGTCTGGAGAAGAGCATTGTTCCATAGTATGAAACAATATGGAGAAGAAGTGACAGGATGGAGCTTTTTATAGCGCCAAGAGGTGAGACGTAGGCCACTAGGAGAGGTAAGAACTCAGATGTTGAGAGGTCAGGTCCCTCTCAAATCCAGCCCCTCTCACTAGTGGAAGTTGTCGAAGTTGATTGCAGGTCTGTACCAAGATACCCTTGTGTTGCAGTGTCTGACAGATTGAACATTAAAAATGGTATAAAATACCGACAGGTTGTTAGGTAAGACACATATGCAACAGTTAGGTATCTTTATTATGAAACGTTTCGCCTACACAGTAGGCTTCTTCAGTCAAGTACAAAAAAGTTGATAGAAGCAGAAGATACTTGAAGACGATGTAATCAGTCCATCACCCTTAAAGTTTTGAGGTGGTCAGTCCTCAGTCTGGAGAAGGTATTGTTCCATAGTATGAAACAATATCTCTTCTCCAGACTGAGGGACTGACCACCTCAAAACTTTAAGGGTGATGGACTGATTACATCGTCTTCAAGTATCTTCTGCTTCTATCAACTTTTCTGTACTTGACTGAAGAAGCCTACTGTGTAGGCGAAACGTTTCATAATAAAGATACCTAACTGTTGCATATGTGTCTTACCTAACAACCTGTCGGTATTTTATACCATTTTAATGTTCAATGTGACCAGGCCTCATGGTGGGTCAGGGCCTGATCAACCAGGCTGTTACTGCTGGCTAGTAATGACCCTCGTATTGTAGATAGTCTTAATGACCCTCGTGTAGTAGATAGTCTTTTTAGTATGATAATAAGATGTTATCGCCCATTATAGAATAATAAGAAAATATTATAACCTTTATATTATAATAATAAGTAAAAAAACCCCCAATGGAAATAAGTCACTGACTTTTTTGGGTTATCCCAGGTTCTTTTACACATATGCTGCTATGTATGATAATTATGTAACTGTTTTTTCTTTATACCTGAAAAAACTTACTTATTTAAGAAATATGGTAAGAATTATAAAAAAAAACAAGAGCACTGGAAATTCTTACTCATTAAGACAGGATTAAAATATTAATAGGTCACATAGAAACCTAAGGAAAATGAGATTGATTAGAACAAGAGGGCAGTTTTAAACTGCTAGGAAGTAAACAACAACATTTATAGCACAGTAATTTTACCTCAAGTGAGCATAATTTACTATACATTTTTTCTTCACAAAGAAAGGTTGATAGTAAAAAGTGCTACATGGGGAAGGTAGTGTATAAACATACTGCAAACAATTTAAGTTTTTATACAATTATATAAAATAGGACACCATAAGCACATAACGAGCATAAAATAATCAAACCTTTTAATTCAGTAATTAAATGAGCGAAGGCCAACAAGAAGAGATCTTGCTCCTGCTACAGGCTACTGCTAATTCTGTTTTGCGGGGGCACATGCCTTCCATGAAGCTTTTCAATGCCATCGATCTACAATAGATATGATTAAAATAAACATCAGATTTATAAGAAGTACCATGGTCTAATTTCAATTTTTAAGTACATTATTCTGGTTATTAAAACTACATAACCTAGTCATATGTGGGAAAACATACTGGCAGGTTCCCCTGCTGTTCTTAATTATACCCATTCTTCATTTATTCAGGGCTTTCTATTTATATTTTTCACTATTCATCTTAACCTAATACCTGGAGGATGTTCCGGAGTTCAACGCTACTGCGGCATGGTCCATGACTAGGACTCGCGGTGGATCAGGGCCTGATCAACCAGGCTGTTACTGCCAGCCACATGCAAACCGACGTACGAACCACAGCCTGTCTGGTGAGGTACTGACTTCAGGTGTCTGTCCAGCTCCCTCTTGAAGACAGCCAGGGTCAACTGGTAATTCCCCTTATGTATGCCGGGTGGCAGTTGAACAGTCTTGGGCCCGAAATGCTGAGGCATTTTAGGGGTTTTCTTTGTACTTAACAATATTTTATAACATGTAAATCACACATTGTATATCACGCAAAGAAATAATTTAATTTAGCGTACTAGTGGCGCCCCTGCTCTTCATTTGGGGGATTGTTGCAATGGCTACTAATGTCAGCATAAGATCTTCCTGGAGCAGGAATCGAATCACCAGAACACAAGGGATCGGCTCTTTCTTACTGGAGGAATGAACAAACTCGGTGGAGTGGATGACTCTCCCCGGTCTTGCTTTCGCAAGGAGTAACTTGCGTGTGCAGATTTGGGACTAGTACTTCAAAGATTTTCCAAGTGTATATTATCATGTGTACATTATCCGTGGAGTACAGGTCAAGGAACTTTCAACCATTCCCAGTAACTTAAGTGCTTTATTGTACTTATACGTTCAATAAAAGGTCTCTATATTCTCCAGGTCTTCAATTTCGCCCGTCTTGAAAGGGGCCGTTAGTGTAGCAATATTCCAGCCTAGAGAGAACAAGCGATTTGAAGAGGATCATTTGCTTGGCGTCCCTAGTTTTGAAGGTTCTCATTATCCATCCTATCATTTTCCTAGCAGATGTGGTAGAGACATTGTGATTTTTTTTGAAAGTGAGATCCTCTGACATTATCATTCCCAGGTCCTTCACATTAGTTTTTCACTCTACAGTGTGGCTGGAATTTGTGTGTGCTGCATATGCATTTTTGTAGACCTAGCTTAATTTCTCACTTAATATCTAATAGTGTAAACATCAGGCTTTTAAATGCATTTAAAATTTAAAAAAAAAGGGGGGGGGGGGCAATGATTCAGTGTACAGCAATTTTAGGTCAACAGCAGTAGCCTGGAATCAAGGCTGCTGTGTGAGTGGGGAACTTATAAGTGAAGCACAACATATATAATTATAAACGAAAATGTGAAGACTAGTGTCAATTAAGAATAGAATATTATAATTAGCAAACGAACAGTAAAATGCAGGAAATGGAAAATGAAATAGAATCATATTTTAATATCTTTTCTGTATTTTATGTTATTAGTACGGTATTATATTCACAAAAAGTACTAAACCTGTATGAGTTATACAACGCTGCTGTATGTGTTAAAAAACTGCAAGAATGGTCATCCCCGCAGTTACAGGTCTCCAAACTGGAAACAGTTTTATAGGAGTAAGAATCACCAAGAAACACACAAGTACAGCTAAGTACTGTACAGTATATACTAAACAGGGGTGCACCTAGGTATGCGTGGGTATCACCTATTTTTATTGTATTGGGGAAAAAGTGGTCAATGCCAGCCGATACTTTAAAAAATTAATCATTGCACACTTGTTTACATGTAGTAAAATTAATACCTCATGATTGTGAGGGTTACACACACACACACTTGGGACCAGGATCGGTGACTACCCCTGCAACCACAAATAGGTAAGTACGTACGTATGTACACACACAAAACACTTTATAACAGTACATACACTTCAACTGGTTATCCATTATGGTATTCAGGGGGATAATGTAATAACAGACATCATTAATAGTGTGTGCCGGGTCACCTCATGAACAAGACCTGGGTCGGGACTACTACGGCACATAAGCCACTTCAGTTACTCTCCAATAGCCTTTTGGGGCCTAGTTCCTAGGCCTATTGTGTACCCATATGCCCTTGCGCTACCGTCCACAGGATGGATATGGGGTGCACAATAAACTAGCCACTTTGGTGGCAAAAATTCTATAGCGTGGTGTAAACTAGAGGCTCATCAAGAACAAACTGTACCACTAAAGTACAAGCTCGTTCAGTGTACTTACCCACTGAAAGAATACTTATTTAACTCGTTCAGTCTCGTACATACATCTATGTTATTGATAGCAGGGTAGATCTATGTTCTGAGCTCATCTCCCTCAGATAAGTTGTGACCAGTAAATATTGTCCTAGACATGACAGAATGGAAGAATGGGTCCGTGTGGTGAGTGTACAAGGTGTACAAGTAATTTTGCCTCATGAAGTGCATGTGAACAGCAAACCTTTCACCTTGTATTTGGTTTCAAACAGCAAATTTGTGGCGTTTTCTAGTTTTTTTATGGTTTTACTGACCGCTTCTTGGTACCATTTGGTAGAATGGAAGATAATACTGAAATCGAGAATATTTTGGTTGCTTTCAAAACCGGAAGTAGCTTGAAATCGGGCTTAAAATAGCGTAAATATTCGATTTTTGACAATTTTTCTTGGGACGAGCAAGGCATGTTTGTATCCCTCCCCCGGTCTGATTGATGGGTTTTAACTAGGTCTGATTCAATTATTGGGATGAAATCAGCCATGACCAATCATTCCTGGTAATAGAAATAAGGTAAATCTTCTACTTTTCTCTTTTTTAAATCAGTTCCTGACCAGCCGGGCTGTGGTTCGTACGTCGGTTTACGTGCGGCCAGCGGTAACAGCCTGGTTGATTAGGCCCTGATCCATCACGAGGCCTGATCATGGCCCGGGCCGCGGGGGAGCTGACCCCGGAAACACCCTCCAGGTATGATGAATTAAAAATCCAGAGCAAATGTAATACAGAAGAGGTCTGAGAATGTGAGTAATGTTTAGTTTAATTAGTTTAATATGTTTATTATGCACCCCATACCCATCCTGTGAGCGGTAGTCAAAAGATTACAGAGGTACATAATTGGTCCAGGGACATATGAAATGTTACTTTAGTGGCGGGAATGCCTAGTGTTTATTTGGAACTCGGTTTTTAAACTCAATTTTTTTGTGAGTAAAATTGGGCCAAATTACCGACTTCTGTGCACTTTATATGATAGTTCTGATAGTTGAATGCGCGGTTTCTTGCTTAATCCATAGAAAGATAGTGCGGTAGTTAAAACATTTATTGAACCGAGAAATGGAATGGGCTTAAAACTTGCATTTTTTTTAGCACACATTTCTCCTAGTGGTTGTTTATATCGTGCACTATCCCTTCTAATTTATTAATTTTAACCTCCCTCCTTACTGATAACATTTTACTTGTACCCCATCCATGTTACTTTTACTTTACTTACCACCAAATAATGATCTAAAGTATGTCACTAAAAACATGCACATTCAGGTCTACCAACAATCTTTTATCTTTCCCAATACATTAGTCTAAAAACTGCTGTCATTACATGATATATCATATTTAGTATACTTGTTTATCTTCTTCCTTAAAATAAGTAATGCCTATTACCAAACCATTTTCTATACATAATTAGAGGCCTCAATTATCACTTATCCCTGGCATTTCAAGCGTATCTACTATGCCATACACAAGTGCTCCAGCATCAGCATTTAGCTCTCCCGCAACAATTTTGACACTTGGTTCGAGACCACCCCAAACATCTCCCAAAATCTATTATCTACACTCCTTTTTCCAGGTACATAAACACTTAATATAAACCACTTCTCACATCCCACCTTTATTCTAATCAACATAATTCTTAAATCTAGTTCTAATTCTCTGATACACCCGATTTAACTCCATTTACACCTCCCAGTTGAAAATTTTCCACCCTATAGCCTTGTTCTGTTTAATGCTAAGACATCCATCGTCTCTTCGTACCTGTACTACACCCACGTAGATTCACAGCCTAATTTTACTATTTCCGTCTTCGTTTTGGTAATTTAGACACAAGGGGGTTACTAACCCGATGCTCCCAGCATTTTAGTCACCTTTTATGACACGCATGGCTTACAGAGGAAAAATTCTACTCCGCTTACCCATAAAGTTATAAGGAAACACTACAAGGGTAAAAACTAAGAAATCAAAAGAAAACTCATGTGTATACATACATATGCTCAACTGTATGTATGGTATATATGCACTGGGTGTTAGTGGTAATGACAAGATGTACCAGTCATCTTACATAATTAAAAAAAAAGGCACCAGCAATTCTACTAGTGTAAAAACCGTTAACAAGTTTCCGTTTCAGTCATTTCGCAAGCTGGAAGTACCTCCCTGGGTGGTTGCTGTCTACCAACCTACTACCACAGGATGGTAGTACCTCCCTGGGTGGTTGCTGTCTACCAACCTACTACACAGGATGGTAGTACCTCCCTGGGTGGTTGCTGTCTACCAACCTACTACCACAGAATGGTAGTACCTCCCTGGGTGGTTGCTGTCTACCAACCTACTACCACAGGATGGTAGTACCTCCCTGGGTGGTTGCTGTCTACCAACCTACTACCACAGGATGGTAGTACCTCCCTTGGTGGTTGCTGTCTACCAACCTACTACCACAGGATGGTAGTACCTCCCTGGGTGGTTGCTGTCTACCAACCTACTACCACAGGATGGTAGTACCTACCCTGGGTGGTTGCTGTCTACCAACCTACTACCAAGGATGGTAGTACCTCCCTGGGTGGTTGCTGTCTACCAACCTACTACCACAGGATGGTAGTACCTCCCTGGGTAGTTGCTGTCTACCAACCTACTACCACAGGA